ATGGTTAAGGTTAGGATAAGTCTCCAGGAAATGCATGTAAGTCAATGTAATGTCCCCTGAAGTGATGTATACATGTTATGCGTGTGTGTGTGTGTGTGTGTGTGTGTGTGTGTGTGTGTGTGTGTGTGTGTGTGTGTGTGTGTGTGTGTGTGTGTGTGTGTGTGTGTGTGTGGTTTAGTACCTCGCAGATGTCCTTGAGGTGTTTGATGTAGTGTCTCTCTGTGCTCATGATCTCGTTGATGACGTTGGCTCTCATCTGGTCCCGGTTCTGGAGGGGCGAGCCCAGACATAGGCAGTCATTGGTCGGGTCCAGGTGCCCGTTCTGCACCTCACTGGTCCCCTCGGATGGCTCCCCTCCCCCATCCTCCTGATTCACCCACAGCTGAGTAAAAAGAAAGAAACACACACACACACACACACACACACACACACACACACACACACACACACACACACACACACACACACACACACACACACACACACAGAGAGAGAAACACAGAGCCACACACACACAANCTTGAGATCTACAGAGCACTTGTGAAATTTCAGCATTAATATGTTTGCCTGGGCATACAGTTTGCAGCGTTGTCTATGGATGTCTTTGTCATCTGTGAGATCATCAGAAATATAATGACCAAGGTACTTCATCTCACTGCACACAAGAAGAATGTTGCACATTGTTTTCCCGCCTTAAATCTTCTCCTGGAAACCAATCTGTGAATCAATGCAGACACAGATGACCTTTTCCCCAAAGCAGCAAGCTTTGTTTCAACTTTCAAACCCTAGGTAAAGGAGGGTTTGTTCTTCAAAACTATGTTTTTGGTGCAGTATTCCTTTAAGACTCTGTTCTGATTGACAGGCCAAAATGGCTCAGGCTTCCATCTGATGCACGTGTTTGCCATTGGTGTGCACATTATTATTTTGGCTTCCAGTTGTTTCACAAACGAGTGCACCCCAGCCTGCAGCTATTGTCCTGGCGTCTGCGCCTCTCATTGTCAGCAGATTATGAAGAGAGGCATAACAGCACCATGAATGAATTCATAAAGGGGAATCGGTTCAATTCCAGCCACCAACTCGTCTTCCATCCAACACACGCCCAGACACAAAAACCCTCTCCGTACTACACTCTGTCTTCAAATGAGAGCCTCGGGATGGGTAAAAAAACCTGAGAATAAGTTTAAAAGAATAACACAAAAGGAGTGCACTATATCAGTATTTTTAAAGCCATAAATTATTTCGAGGGCACTTTCTGCACATACATGCTGATAAAAGCAATGGCTCCTGAAAGCCAAGCTTTCAGTGGGTTGCTGTACGAGGCATCACAGCTGAGATATGACAACCGTCCTCAAACAAGATACAAGATCCTTTTTTTCTTGCTCTGTGCTTGGTGGTGTGTGTATGAAACGCAGAGTGAGCAGATTACATAAGCCTGCCCTACCTCTGTGGGCTCCCTCTCCAATCTCCCTGACATTTAGACAACAAAGGTCACATCTGAAAGTCTAAATCTGCACAGACACCACGGCTAATATACTCATACATATACAAAAGACGGGGAGAGAGGGGGTTTGTAAAAAAAGAGGCAGATTATATCCCACCAGCAGAGGATAACATGTTGAATAAGATTACGTTTACTGTATGTGAAGAACATGCAAAGATGCAGTTAATCAATACGACTTGCATCATTTTCAGATGCTACTATTGTGAGGGATTTGTACAAATCATTTGTACCGTCATCAGCCTTTTTCTTTATTCTTTGTAAAGCTTCAAATGGGTAGTATGTATAGCAGGGCCATGGTAACTGTGTTTTTTTGTCCCCTCAATGTATTAACAGCGATGTTTGAATGTGCAAATAAGGAAGCTTCCACCAAACGCTTCAGTTTAACCAATATGCCATGCCAACCAGTTAAGTTGCAGTTTACGTCCATGTCTGTTCAAAATGTCATCACTTAATAATTCTAACCTTTTAGACATGCGTGAAATTATCACAATTAGTATATAAAGTATTGAGTAATGGCTGAAAATGTGTTTTGTAAGGTCACAGCTGCTTAGACATTTGTCCACCAAATAAAAATAAGATTTTCCTTAAAATGCACATTCAGCCATATAGAGAGATAATTGAATGGATGTATGTATGGACCAGTCTATGGTATGGACAGACAGACAGACGGACGGACAACTCACGATGCCCCTTGGCCATCAACATTTGGTACGTATCCTTTCATCTTGCTTTACTTTGGCTCTTCACATTTGAAATGGTATGTTCACTGTCACATCTCTTCGCCACAGCAAATTAATAGTCGGAAAAGTGAACTTTGCACTGTGGCTCATGAAGGTCTGATATAATGTCTGTTAAAGCAGCCACTGCACCAAACTGATGAGCTCACCCTTCACTCTTTCTGGGATAATGACCTTGAACCCCTTCCACAGAACCAGCTGCTTGCTGCCTGCTTGATTGGGGCATCTTTCCCCCCGTGAGAGAACCACTCTAGTACACATTGGAAACCACAGTCCAATTACGCCAAAGGGAGAACATCATCTGCAAATATCACGTCGCCAAACTGTACTCTTTCCAGACTGCGAGTGTGCCTCAATATCCTGTCCATGAATATTACAAACACATGTGAGCACAAAGCACACCTTCCTTAAAACAAGGTTGATGTAATGCTGCCAACAAGACCCAGAGTGTAATTAAAGTATTGCCGCAGAGCACTACCTTCAATACCTCAGGGCAATAAGTACTCATAGTCATTAGCATCCTGTAGTTAGGATATAGACAGGAAGTTATGCTACCTTAGTCTGTGGTCGCTTGCTACAGTACAGTATTGGCATCATCAATCATTGCCACAGTGACAGCCCTATAAGGAACAATGTTTGCACCGCTCACCTTTAGATGAAGGATGGTAAAATATTCCAGCCCCTCCCTATTTTTGAGCATTAGATTAAGTCAAAAACTGCTGCAGAGTCATCCCTTTAAGTTTATTTCATGACATTGGTATTTTTCTTTGAACACTGCTGGACATCCTCTCATTATACAACCAGAGAGTAGTGTAGATAATGAATTCACCATTCTCCTTCATGTTTATTTGCTGGTCTGAGATCAGCCCGTTGGTTCTGACTGTATCTACTCTGAGGTAATTCCTTCTGGCCTTTAGCCAGCGAGCGACGTCCTTAGATAGTCTCTCCCTGAATAAGACTACACATTTCAGTACTGGCAAAGGAATCTGTTTGTGGTCAGTAGGTATTTGGCTAATGGGAGGCGAAGCCCACCACACCCATTTCCCCTCCAGTCTGCTCCAATTCTTTTGTTCCCCTCCCGTCCCCACGACAACCACACTGACTTCCCTCTTCCTCCCAAGCCTTAAAGCCACAAAGCGGCCTAAAAATAATTTGCCTGACTTTTCCTGAACGCAGTTTTGCACCATTGTTCAGACGTAAGCTGTTTTTTCGTTCAGCTCAATTTGGCTATTGGTGTACAGGCTAGTGAGTGGGTCAGAGCATCGAGGATTTTAAGAAATGTTGCAAAACAGATGAGATAAGAGCAGTAGGTCATGCCAAGTGGGGTGGAGAAATGAGGATTAAAGACATTACGAGACAGAACAGGTTTGTGTGTAATTTTCCATTCCGTCATGACATACTGTAGCCAAGGGACGAATACAAATGAATTATTTAATGACGACCCTGTGCAATATCTACGAATCTGCCCTGCGACTGTGTTTTTGATAGACCCCCGCCCCCCGCCCCCCCCAGTGAGTCTGCTAAACATTGTCAAGTTCTAGCAAGGAAGGAGAAGACGCTAAGTCTTTGTGTAAACACTGAAAGAAATAAGAGTATATATTAGACCCTCCAGAAAAACGCGGGCAAAAATCCTTGATTATGCGGGCTAAAATCCTTGATTATGCGATTAAACATGCGGGGTTTTATGTGATTTTATGCGGTGAAATTGCGGGATGTTAGTATGCGGAAAGTTGCGAAATATGCTAAATATGCGGGGGAAAAGAATAACAATTTTTTAAAATATTGGGCTGTCTTATTTATTCTCTCTCACACACACACACACACACACACACACACACAGAGAGAGAAACACAGAGCCACACACACACAAGCACTTGAATAAGAAATGTGCACAGTTAAGTCTCTTAAGAGTATATATCTGGCAAAAATGAATTAATAAACACGTTTAGGTATTTATATTAAAAGATCTTTTCGATATAAGTGGTATTACTCACTCCTCATGAGCATGAAGGCACACTCACACACGAACACATATCTCACACACACAGAGCTTCATTTAGAGGGTCTCTGGTAGTTTGACCAGAGTGTCGCTCCATAAAAACGAGGGACAAACTGCAGAGTTTAAAATAAATATCTCTTTCTGCGCACAGAGATTATTTAATGCCCAACTCCGGCCCTGTGTGTGACTCAAAAAGACTACCTCCCCACCGCATGCACGTACACTCTCATTCAATTTCCTCACACATGCATGCACCTGCGACACACACAGTACCCAACACACACGGTGCACTTCACTATCTCTCATAAAAAGGGGCCAAGTGTGCGTGGTTTCAGATGTCCAGCAGCCAACACCTGATGACACACAGTTTGCCAAGAGAACATCAAAGAACCGACGGGTAGAATGCCAAACACAGGATGAGAAATGCAGCGCCACAGACAAGCAGAGTGACGGGTGGAGCACTGACTGCAGACGGAGAACGAGTAGCGCGGTGTTAAGACTGAGAAAAAAGTCAGAGTCAATAGTAAATGGAGAAAGTAATCAATATTTAAAAATAGAAATGTAAAAATCTAATAATGCTTTTAAACTTTACTTTTGACTCGTCAGTTCTGCCTCTGTATCGACCCCGTGGAGGATGGTGTGAAAACGTAATGTTTGGTAATGTCGAGGGTACGTTGCGTAGACAAACTGGAGCGGGCGGGTGGGCGGGCAGGCTGGATGGGTGGATGAAGCTGGGAGAACGCACCTTTGACGTGGTGTTTTGGAACCGTGGAGTTGCTATGGGGTTGAGATAGAAAACCTGTTTTGTTTGGGGCTGAGGAGGGTGGGGTTCCACCTTGGAGAGAGAGAATGACAGAACAGAAAGATACTTTTTTTTGGTCGACAGTCAGTCAGCCTGTCTGCCCTGCCCTCTCAGGAGTGAGGATGGAAGGGTGGAGAGGTGGGGGATGGCCATGAGGTGTATCTGTGTGGGGAGAGGAGAGGGTGTGTGTCTGCTGTGGGAAGCCTCCACCTACAAACAAGGATGCTAGTTCTTCCTTCGGTGAGTAACAGAAGTAGGGAATAACATGCAGTAGCTGCGTCATCAGTGTTTAGTCCAGCTCAAATATGGCTGGGATTATATAATCACCATGTAAAGTGAGGACGTTGGATATTTAAGTGGGTTTCAAGGGTAGGAAGTTTAAAAAGGGGCCCATCAGCAGCTTTGTTTTTGCTGTCCCTGAACGCCCGATAAAAGGCACTTACTGTAGCTAGCTATTCTCTCATATCTTCAATGTTTACAAAAATAAAGCATTATTTAACAGTTTGTATACGTGTGTGGAGCAAGCACATCAATGGGCCTCATGCAGGAAGCATTACAAGTACATATCTCATATTTTGTACAATTTGTTCTTATTGCTTAGTACCTGGGATCCATCAATGTTTTTTTTGCTATTTTCAAAAGAATATTTTAAGCACTCTTACAAAGATAAAAAAAACATCTAGCTTTCACAGTCCGGGAATCGATTCTCCAACACAAGGAATCATTATGTTTGAAAAATGTGAGGAACATTTAAAAGAAGCATGTAATCAAGTGTTATTATAATGATTGGATAATTACATTTGTAGGCTAAACAAATATATATTGGTCCATTGATCCTAATTAAGACTATAAAATCCCTGGAGAATGATAAAGCATGTGTCCAGCTACAAAGGAAGCATTGCACACACAAGTCTTTTTAAATCTTTTTAAATGTCATCATCAGTACTGACCCTCAGAAAAACCACATGTTGACTCATTTAACAGTATTTTCATTTGACTACTACTGAAATTCTTCTTTTTATACAGTATATTTGTTTTTTGTAGACATTGCTCCAATTCTCGGGCATGCACCCGGCACCTGCCCTTATTTAGTGTTCAGTGGGCGTTACCAAGGCTAATTATAAACACTTGGCCATACGCCTCCAAATTACGGTGACGTGTTATTTATCATTCAGCACACCCGGGTATGAGTAGATATGCATGTTAACAATCTAAGGTTGACTTTTTATGTACTTTCCTCCATAGAATCAAGAGAAATCCGCTGCATAAGGCCCGATGCTTGCGACCCATGTGTGTGTGTTTGTGTATATGACCTCAACTTGTGTGCATATGTTCATTCCAGTGTGTGTGGGCGTGTGTTTTGTCTATGGTGTCCAGCTATGGCCGCAGCGAACTCACCCGTACGAAGCTGGCAGGGAACCATCCTTCCTCCTCGTCAATCTGGCCCCACCACCAGTCCTTGTTGGAGGCGTCCAGCACCTTGATGACGTCACCGGCCTTAAACGCCAACTCCCGGTCCGCCATGGTCACATGGTCCCATACCGCCTCAGCGTTGACGATTGAACCTCCACTTATCAACTGGAGATATGGGAGGGAAAGACAGACAATCTTACGCTTTATTCTCATAATGTGAAGCGCTGTGGGAACACTACTGCAACAGCATGAGGACCAATACTGATCCACGTGACCTAAAACAGCATCGAAATCAAATTTAAAAGCAATTGTAATTCAATATTCAGTCTCCTTTTGGCCTCAATTAATGTGAATCCTTGTTGTTAAGCCCACTCAGATTACTAATGGATGCAAATACACACCCTCAAAGCCAGGGCCCCAGTAGCAGCTTAGAGATTGCAAAATAGGACGACACAATAGCCAAGACACAGACCACACTACGACACAAGATACGACGACACAACAAAAAGAGCAGAGCCATTAGTGGAGAAACAACACAGCGTTCAGAAGCACAGCACCAGTCTCCACACAGGGATGGTAATTGGCCCATTATGACATTAGAATAATTACATGTGTTAATGTAATATAAATGCAGAGGAGCAAACAAATGCGAAGGGATAATCTCCTTTCCCTCATGCTGTCACCATGGCTTGTTATTTTATCAGCGGCAGTCTTTGACAAAACATGGAAGGGTGACTCATCAAATCTGTTCTATTGATTTTAGCATCATGAATTAATAATGTGGACATAGGAATGAATGTTTTCAACTGTGCGCATGTACTGTTATTTTTGCGAGCTTGCATTGGGAACAGTGTGTAATCTTTCCTGTCAGGTGATCAGTATTCTACAGGGGTTTCAGAGAGGCTAAAGGTGGTTCTCATTAAAGGACAAGAGATGGCGGACAATGTTCCCGAGAAGGACCTGAGCCTGACATCATCCATCTACCAAACGGCCTATTCATCCATCACACCAAGGCTTTGTGGCCTTTGAGGCGTGCAAAAACACTATATGTGCACACGTGCAGCCACACTTCCCATACATTAAACCCCTGCATGCAGCTGTGGCACGGCTCCAACAGTTTGTTCCAATTGTTCTCCCCGACGTAGTGTTCATCAGCATTCCCCGGTCCGGAGCTAACCATGCGTCGAGTCCCTGGGGCTGTGGGCCGAGCAGCCAGCGCTAACCGAGCCTGACAGGAGCTGCTTAGTCTCTAGGTAAGGAGTTATCAAAGGCCTGGAGACACGGGATGTCACATGGACGGACATTAAGTTAGTTCTTCACTTGTAATAAGGCTTCTGCGTATTAATATTGAGGTAGTGTTACTTTATAAGCTGAGTTTGTTTCCCCCCTCTTTTATTCTCTGCCTCTTATAAAATGAAATCCCTTGATGGTAAAACCTCTTTAAAATGCACCTCATCACTCCAGCACAAATATGCTATTCTACCTATGTGCTGATGCGGTGTGTTTTAAAAGGAGGTCCACAGGAAACCGCATACTGTGTGTGTGTGTGTGTGTGTGTGTGTGTGTGTGTGTGTGTGTGTGTGTGTGTGTGTGTGTGTGTGTGTGTTTGTTTGTATTCAGCCGAGCCCCCCCGTGAGGATGTAAGCTCTCTCAGCAGCTACGTTGCCCCTTCAACCTGTAGACAAGCCTTCTTCCCCGATAGCTTTACTGTGACGCCTGCGGGCATACGAGCCAATCAGGGGCAGAGGAGGGGGGACATAGGGAGGGACCTCCATGCCTGGAAGGGAAAGAGCGACCGTCGTCATGGCGACAGATGAGGATGCTTCACTGGTATTGACAAGATGATGGGATGAGGTAAGGACGCTTCAGGAGGCACCAGAATATGTCTAAATGTAAGTGTGTGTGTGTGAAGCAGCAGACACACAAAGAGTGAAGTCTGAATAACTGCAACATCACTCTGTTAATTAAATATTCAAATAAAAACCGAAGTCAGTAGTCGATCCAGTAATAAGATCATTTCTATGTCAATGCTAAATTGCAGAAATGTACACAGTGGAGGCCTCTGCACGCAGGCTCTAGATCAAAGATGTCATTGAGAAGGTGGATCCAATCCCGTATGGGAGCCAGGGTAGCAATAGATCTTATAACCTATACATCAAAGCTCTCCACTCTAGAAAGAGAGGAAGATTACCGCAAAAACATGTGTCACGCTGCCATGGAAACAGCACCAATGAATAGTACTCAAAAAGATTTTAAAATCATTGGCGATTCAAGAAAAAGGAATCATATTGGAATAGTTACTGGAAGCCACAAAACAGAACCAATAGAAGAGATGAGCCTCTGCACTCAGGTCAGATTGACTTTTTGCTTCTTTACTCTGATGCCTGCTTTCCCTAATTCAGCCCCATCCCCCCCACCCACACGCTTTACAGGACAACCCCATTTTCAGCCCCATTCACTCAGAGCACAATCTCTCCACTCCCCATCAATCTGCGGTAATATAGCCAACAGACGGGCAGAGTGAAGGGGAGAGATAGAGATCCATTCACAGCCAATGTTCCTCCCCTCATCCCTCCATCTCCCTAATGAGATCAGCACTGCCCTCTCTGATACGTAGCATCATTCCCCCCCCCCTTCATGTCTGAATAAATTAGAAATTACATTACATAATCAATCTCCCCAATCCCTGCCTTAGCACTTCTTCACACCTACTTGATCAATGTGCAAGACACACAGAAGTCTCATTATCTGTGTGTCTAACAGCTGTAATGACCTATGTCATGATTATGGTTACGCTGCAGTTACAACATCAAAGATCAGAGGGCCAAACGGCCGCCTTTACACCGCAAAACCTGTATTTGGGTCAATGCAAATGAATGCAGAGAAATGTATCCCTATATATGGACATATGGGACAATGCTATCTGTTTCATGGAGGCCAACATGTGAGAACAGAAAGCCTATTGATTTGACTATATCATATTTGCAGTGCAACACATCAGCATTCACTGCACTGGCAGCTCCACTGCATTCCAACATCCTCCTCTATCTCTAGCCATAGCACATCTGCAGCAAAGCACCTACAGCATCCCTGAGCACCCGCGCACACACACACACACACACACACACACACACACACACAGACA